AACTGATTTTAGTAATAATCTAAAATCTCATTTCAACATGTAATCAATATAAAAGTTCTAACTAAGATATTTCATGAGGCTGGAGCTATAGCATAGCAGGGAGGGCACTTGCCTGGCACCTGGTCAACCCAGGTTCGATCCCCAACACCCGCTATGGTCCCCCAAGCATCATGAGGACTGACTCCTGAGCAGAGCCAGCAGAGCCTGAGCATCACTGGGCGCAGTCCAAAAAACAAAACAAATAAAAACAAAAAACAGGGGCCAGAGAAGTAGTACAGTGGATAAGTCGCTTGCTTTGTATGCGATCTACCCGGGCGTGATTCCCAATATCCCATATAGTCCCCCACGTACCCCCAGGAATGATTCCTGAGTGCAGTCAGGAGTAACCCCTGAGCATTGAGAGGCGTGCCCCGGCACCACATGATCTCCTGAGTACCACCAGGAGTAATTTCTGAGCACAGAGTCAGAAGGAGCCAGCACGCACTACTGGGTATGGTATAAATCTGCCCTGCACCCTGAAAAAATAAAGCACATCTAAGCTCTGTGTGCTCACATTCCATGGGCTTACTAGCCACATCTGATTTGTAGCTACTCTGTGGACAGCACAGTGAAAAGATACTAACTAGTGTAAAACCCTCACACACCCCCACACACGCACACACCCACACATGTGCGCACACACACACACACACACACACACACACGCGCGCGCGCGTTTGCGCACACACATGCCACGCATATAGAGCCCATGCAGAAAATACACACAATAGAACAAAAGCCAAGAAGTCTAACAGGGTTTTGAGCTTTTCTCCACCGTGACTCAAAACAGAATGATTGACAATCATCATTTTCTTCTTTCCTGGAGCAAACTGGCACACAAAGCAGTGAGGTAAGCTCAGAGTCATTGTACAGAAATGGTGCTGATAAAGGTGCTGCAGTCTCTCTCCAAGGTCAAACAAAGACACCTGGCAGAGAAAACATCTCAATCTTGAACAAAATGGACAGATCGGCCAAAGGTTTTCCTGAGACCAGAGAATGCAGTCAAGCGAGTGTTCTTCCAATTGGGAAACTTGAGTATGTAAACAATCTATTAACAACTAGCACTAACCGATGATTCTGTAATTCTTTTCAGCTGATCGTACCCTCGTTCTCTACTGCCCCCAGGCAATATTTGGAAACAGGCAGTACTTTGTTATACTCTGATAATCACTAGCTAAAATTTCGCGTTATACATGTACAAACATCCAATTTGTTTATCATTAATTTTTTTTTATTAGTTTAGGTAACCTGGTTACAGCACTTTAGAATTTATGGTACTGATGTGCTCAACTATTATACTCCAGTACCACCAAAGTGCCCGAGATCTTTCATCACTGACCCTCTCCCCACTCCCCCCACTGTTTGACACTGTTTGTTTGTTGTTTTCTTTGGGGGCCACAACCAGCTGTGCTCAGGGCTTACTCCTGACTCCGAACTTAGTGATCACTCCTGGTAGGAGGGACCATGTGAGGCGCAGAGGCTCGAATTCAGGTTGGCCCCATGTAAGGTAAGAACCTCACCCGCTGTGCCATTACTCTGGTCCCTTGTACTGCTACTGCCCTGTGTTGTTGCTCTAACTCCCACAAATGAATAAGATCATTCACTCTTCGTCCTTCTCTCTCTGACTTATTTTGCTTAACACGATACCCTCCAGTTTCATCCAAATTGCAGCGAACTGCATGATTTCATCTTCTCTTATAGCCACAGAGTATTCCTTGTGCTTCTATATCAGAGTCTTTATCCGCTCATCTGTTATTACACCATTTGGATTGTTTCCATATCACGATTATTGTACTAAGCACTACAAGAAACAAAGGTATGTATATACCTTTTTAAATGAATGTTTTTAAGTTTTCGGGACAAACATCCTATTTAAAATCATTCTTTTGGGGATGGACAGATCACTCAACGGGCTAACTAAGCCCTCTGCATGCAGAAAGACTGGGTTCATTTCAGCACGACATGGATCCTGGAGCACGGCTAGAGCACCAGGCACAAAACTGGGTGTGGCCCCAAAACCAAAAAATTAATGAATCTTTTACAAGTGACAAACCTGACTTCAGAAAGGACTCAAAGGAATCCATATCGGTCCCCTTCCTGCTGAAAACAAACTATATCATTTCCTCCAAAAAGAAAAAGCAGGACTGGGAGAAAGCACAGTGCTTAGGACACATGCTTACCATGCACTTTACATGGGTTCTGTTCCTGCCACCACATGAATGTGAACATGGGAGGGGCGCAGCCCTGGTGGTCCCGAAGCACCACCAGGTATGGCCCACATAAACCAAGAATCACTAGTAGGGTGCTCGGACCTTCTAAGCACTGTTTGGAAGCCCTCTTCTCTTCCCCTCCTACACCCCCAAATGGTATAAACATTACAGAATTAGAACAAATGAAATTAATATGCAATAATCCAGATCAAAGATTTGCAAAGTGCACTGACAACAGTCCACCCTTGCATCTTCCCTGGTAACGTCTGTCTCCAGGGGAGCAGAGGCAACCGGAACCACTGACTCACCTCTCTTCCACCCTCCATCCCGAGCACCACCCCCTCCCCTGCCACACAGCACACAGGTGAATGGGTTCAGGGCCAGAAGATGGAGATGACTGGCTGAAACTACGACTATGTCCAAAGCCAGGACATTGCCAATGAACCGTGGGCCCCTTCCACTGCAGAAATTAAGTCTCAATGAGAAGCCAGAAAGAGAGAGGGCTGGCAATGTTCAGGGAAACACCGTTTGGAGAGGCATCCTGGCTTGGGAACATAAGAACCAAGAACTCGGACATGGGGTTCCGTCACTGCAAATGGGGTGTGGGGTTCCTGATCTGAACCACAACAGCTACCTAACTGGACTGAACCTTGATCTGATGATCAATTCAGAGGCAAATTTTGCATCATTATTTAGCTTCCCCAAATGACTTGCCTAAGGGGGTGGGGTATGGGGAGAGAGTCAGAAAAAATAATAATAAAATTCAGTTCTCTGGATAATTAGCCTGTTCATTCTGCATGGAATAACATTCTTGGTTTTAGATCAATTCTTTGACTTTTAATTAACTGGAGCCTAAGAGCTCAATCCACTCTAAAGCCACTAACAAATGGATTTCTCAACCTGTCAGCCAAAAATTAGATTTCTGAGGCAAATGCTCACTCACTGGGTCCTTGGAGTAACTCAGGAGTTTCCCTCTCCTTTAGGGTGTGTCGTTTGCAAACTGCAGAGAATCTTTATATAAACTGATCGTTCCTACCTTAAAAGAGACAGCAATTGTTGGTGACTTCACTCTATGTGTCTCACCCTCCCCTTGTCTGGAGACATTTCCATAGTCCCTAACTCCCAAACTTTTAAAGCCACAGCACACTATCATTTCATCCATGATATGACAATATTTTCCTTCCCTAAGAAGTTTATACGACACGTTTCACTCTTTCCAAGGGAAGGATATTAAAATCGAGGTGTTATCCCCCTCCTCAGAATTTCTTGAGTTCCCAGGAAAGCTACAAACCTAAACTGTAAGCATCACAGGCCAGAGAGAACGTTAGTAAGCCAGAGCACATGCTTTGCGTGTGTGTGTGTGTTTAATCTGGGTTCAGTCTTTGGCACCTCATATGCCCCTACCAAGCAAGTGCCTCCTGACCCCTGCTGGGTGTAGTCCCCAAACAAACACGCCAAATGCTAAGTCCCAGTATTATAATGGGTAGAAATGTTAGTTTTTAACCTGGGTTAACACCAAGTGGATGTTTCCTATACTTTCGGTGCTTGCTTTTTTTGGGATACATCTGGTGATGCACAGGGGTTACTCCTGGCTCTGTACTCAGGAATTACCCCTTACGGTGCTCAGGGGACCATATGGGATGCTGGGAATCGAACCTGGGTCAGCCGCGTGCAAGGCAAATGCCCTAACCACTATGCTATTGCTCCAGCCCCCTATTCCCGGTGCTTTCTCCAAAGTTTGAAATAGTTGAGTTTTGGAAGGAGCCTGGGGAATTCTCGGGCCACCTGAGGTGGCACTCAGGGGCATTTCGTGGCTCCACACCCAGGGGTCAGTCTCAGCAGTGTGCACAAACCATGAGACACTAGGGATCAAGCCCACACCTCCCACATGCAAATTATGTGCACTAATTCTCAGGCCCACAGTTCACTTTTATCCGTAAGTATTTTTGTCCTGTTTGGGGGTCACCCTTGGCGGTGCTCATGGGTTACTCCTGGAGCTGTGCTCAGGAGTTGCCTTCAGTGGTGCGAGGGGGAGTACAGACAGTGCTGTGGATCAAACCAGCTCCACCCACATGCATAGCTCCCTAACCCATTTCCCTAGCCTAAAATTTTCATTTTTTGCTTGACAGGGGCCACACCCCAGGAGCTATTCCTGGCTCTGTGCTCAGGAGTGACCCTTACTCATGGAACCATCTGTGGTGTTGGGGTATTCAAACCAAAGTGGGGGCAGAGTGCCTTTACCCTTTGACCTTCCTCCACCCACAAAAAAAAAAGCTTCTTTTTAATCAATTCTCTCAAAATTTAAGGGTTTTTAGAGTCAAAATGCCAGAGAAGGGACTGAAGTGATAACAGCGGGTAGGGTGTTTGGCTTGCACGCAGCTGACCCAGGATCGATTCCCAGCACCCCATATGGTCCCCTGACCAATTCCTTGGTGCACAAGTCGGGAGTAACTCCTGTGCAATGCCAGGTGTGACCCAAAAAGCAAAAAAAAAAAAAAAAAAAAAAAAAAAAGCCAGAGAAAACGTAGAGGGGTGTTATGGTACTTGCAGTGCATCCCACCAACCCCAGTTCAAATTCCTGGCACCAGCCCACGGCACCCACAGGAATCACTGCTGATCACAGAGCCAGGAGCAGCAACGCTGGCCATGTGTCCCCGCCAAGCCACCAAAACTGTTCTTAAACTGTTAACTGTCCAAGAGGCGCATGCAAACACACATGGACACAGGCACAGTGGCCGCAGGAGCTGATACCTTGGGCAAGGGCATCAGGGTGGTACTCGGGCTCTTCCTCAGGGGGGCTCTGCAGGAAGTACAGCTGCTCGGGCAGCATGTTGGCGATCTTCTCCTTCCCCAGCACGTGGCTGCTCAGAAGCGGGCTGACACTCCACTTCACTTTCTCCCTGTTCTCGTGGGCCATGATTTTTTTGGTCCGCGCCTTGATGTTCTCCCAGCACTTCTTCAGCTGTTTGAAATCCCGCAGCGACACGCTGGGCTGAGAGTTGTACTCGTGGGCCAGGGCCTGCCAGGTACGTTGCTTGAGCGCGATAGTTCTTGCGTCGCTTTTCTTACATTCCAGCACATACTTATACTTTTCTACTAAAGCAAGCAGGATGCTCTTTTCCAATTCTGAGAAGTATTTGGCAGGCTTTATAATTTCGTTGTTTTGCATTTTCTACTATGCTTTGTCCTGGCCGTTAGCTAGCCTGCAAGAGAAATGTGAAACAGTATTTACTCACCCCAGCCACAGAAGGCATCAGCAAATCACTTCAAAGCATCATTCTGACTTGATTGCTTTGCCTTGAATACAATATTTTATTTCCCACTAATGTGAGATTCTATTTTTCAGGAAAACTTTCAGGAGTTCACTAGGAATGAAATTTTACTCCAAAGTAGATTTTCAAGTAAGATCCTCTGTTGTAGGTCTTGGTCATTTTGTGCATATCTGGTATGTAAGGGGGAAAAAAAAGAAGAAGAAAAGTTGAATATCTGTGAGGAACTCTAATTTGTTCATTGGTTTCTGCTCAATGTTAGGAAACATATAATTTCACAAATTTAGAGCTAGGCCACTTCTGAGCTAAACAGCTTTCTCAACATTTTGTCACAAGAATAGCCAATGTGTAACCCCAACATAAATGATCACATAAACACCAGTAAGATTTCAGAAACATCAGGAAATCACCCATCTGGGCTGAAGAGATAACACAGGGGTTGAGGCTCATGCCTTACACATAGCCAACCCTGGTTTGACCCCTGGCACCACCTATGTTCTCCCAAGAATTGCAGGCATGAATCTTAAGCAAAGAACTAGAAGTAGCAGACTGTGGAGTCCTACTCAGGAGCAGTCCCTGACCAACACCAGGTGTGGCCCAAACTCTTTGCCCAAATAAACAGATAAGATACATCAAAGTGTGGACTCCTAAGCAAATATTTTTATATCATTTCAGAGGTGCAAAGGCCTGGGCATTCAATGATTGAATTCCACACTTCTCTTCTCAAATGGGGGAACCAAAAGCTAATAGTATCCCATGGACTGCCCAAAATTGCCAAAATGGTAACTTGAGAAATCAGACTGCCCTTATAGTCTAGCATTATTCAGTTTTAACATACCAAACAATAACCATTTCATTCATAATCCCTTAATAGTCTTATCCACATAGGATAGGTTATTTTTAATTGTATATTATTCAAAATTTTTGAAATATTATATTTCCTCCATTTTTAACCTAAAGTTTATACACCTTTCTGTATTTTTCTTAGTATAAATTATATATACTTAATATACACTTTATTTGATATACACATACATATTGAAATTATTACTGCAGACAAGTTAATAAACTATCTCCCTTGCAGTTAACTTTCTTAATTTCAGTCATACCAGGCTGTACACACACCTGACTGTAACTTCCGGGTCTGCGCTCAGGGATGACTCTGGGAAGTGCTAAGGGACCCCTATGTGGCATTAGGGATCCAGCTGGCTCACCTGCATGCAAGGCCCCCTCCAGTTTTCATTTGTGGGGGGAGGGGAGGGGAGTGAGAGCACCTGAAATCAAGTCTCAGCCCATTTCCAGTATCCAATATAACATTAACTAGTAATTATGCCTGTACATCTAGATCTCCTGACTTTTCCATCCTACGCAACTGCGACTTGCGACCTTTCTGCAATCCCTCACCTTTCCTCTCTCCGCCTCCAGTCCCCTGTGACCACTGTTCCACTCCGCTTCAACACCTGCCACAAGTCAGAATTCTTAGTATCATTTCATAACTATCCCTTTGGATTTTCATCTGAGACATGATGCCGAAGGTAAACTTTCCTTCATATGGCTTTGCCCATGACCCGAGAATCACATCACCTTTAACGTGTCTCAATCTCTCCATCTCTGATTCTAAGATGCCCACCATGTATGTATCTGGTACGTGGAAATCATGCAAGAATCACCCCTGGGATGATTCTGAGTCATACTGAGGACTCCCTTGGATCATGAGGCTGAGCTCCCATTTTCTCATACTCCCCAGAGCTGAGCCCACATTTTCTCATAGAAGAGGTGCTCAGCCAAATGTCTTATTTCATGGAAACCACATGTGTTTCGTGACCTTAACTCTCCCTCTTAATCACTTCTTACAACATTAACCTCTCAAATAGCAATACAGTGAATGTTGCTTGCGTCCCTTTGTAGAGATGGTCAGCATACCCCAGCCCCAAAGGACTGATATTTCAGAATAACAAGCAAGCAAGCATCAAGGTACTGGTGATGAGTCCACTTCAAACCAACCAACCCGTATCAAAATCAGGAATCTACTGAAAAGGATTTGCACATCAAAGAGGGTGAGGGTGATGCATCAGAATCCTCCGTGAGCTGCATTACGGATTCACTACCAGGATCTCACCATTCTACAAGGAAGTGATCATCCATATCAAGAGAGGGGTTTGGCAGGTGATTCCATTTCACCAAAACTCTTCAGTACCACCTTCGAGAACATCATGCGACAACTGGAATGGGAAGGAACGGGAGTGAAGATAGACAGTCGGCAACTACACCACCTCTAAAAACACCAAACATTAGCCAAGCAGCACAAATGCTGGCAGACTTCGACCATGAGTGTGGAAAGGTCAGACTCCAGCTGAATCTCACAAAGATAATGTTTATGAGAAACGGTCTCGTTCCTGACGTTCCATTCGCTCTTAACAGAACGAACATCTCCGAATGCAACAGTTATGTGTACCTAGGTCAAGAAGTCAACATAACAAATGACTTGGCACCTGAGTTGAACAGGAGGAAGAGAGCGGCTTGGAACGCCTTCAAGAGCGTTGAAAAAATAGCTAAGAGGACGAAGAACCTCCGGCTCCGGGCACATCTCTTTGATTCCACTGTTCTTCCTGCATTAACATATGCCTCAGAGTCTTGGGCCCTACGAAAACAGGATGAGAATGCTATTCGCATCTCCCAAAGAGAAATCAAAAGAGCTATGCTTGGAGTATCACGGTTCACTCATATGAGAGAAAGAATTCGGAGTTCCGATCTCCATCGATGGTCAAGAATCAGGGACGCTGTCTCGTTTACCAAGGCATCGAAAATCAGATGGGCTGGACACGTAATGACATTTGGAGACGACCACTGCACTAGAGCCATTACTGACTGGATTTCACAGGACGTCAAAAGACCGCGTGGCCGCCCACCTACAAGATGGTCAGACTTCTTTGTCAAGACCCTGAACGATCGGTTTGAGGTTCTTCGTGTTCCTGGAACAAACAGATGCCATTGGGCTACACTAGCACGCGACAGGGACGAATGGAGATGTTACTGGCGCCAGCTCGAGCAAATCGATGAGTGACGGGATGTCAAGTGATCAAGTGAGGGTGATGGACAGATGGAGGCAGATAATCTCAATATCAGCAGTGGAGAGACTGAGACACGTGTTAAAGGTGATGTGACTCTCGAATCACTGGCAAAGCTGTGTGCGGGGAAACTTATCTCTGGGAATATGTTGCAGGCCAAGACATTCCCAGGCCTGTGTCTCAGTCATGCTGCTCCCTTTCTCCTACAGTGGCCCAACTAATTTTTCACCTTTATTGATACATCTAATTTCTATAAATCAATGCTGACCCAAATGACATGCATTAAAACAAGCCACTTACGACATATCTCTTTTGTGTTATTTCTACCTGCCAAGATGTCTGCATCCAACTTTACTTGTATAGTTTTTATTATGAAACTAATCAGTATCTTGAAGATTCCTAAACTACACAGCTTCTAGCGTAGGTTCTGATCTAATACTATTGCCCAACTCCTTCTCAGGGTCTGTTTTGGGGAGTATTAAATGATATAGTGGAGATTCTGACAATCTCCTTTCCTCTACCTCCCTTTTCTTTTTAAGAATCATTACTGTAGGATTGAGAAATCTTTACAAACTAAAAAGGAACTACTGCCTATTCTATTCTATTCTAGGTAATGCTGTTATTTATATACGTATATATGTGTATATATCATATGCTTTTTCTTAATATATCCCCTTTTCCCTATCTTTATTTCAAGATAAATTAAAAGAGGAATGATGCCACAAAAGATGGAAACACTGAAGACTTATGTTATATCACCATCTGTCCTCCAGAAATGATGAACCAATTTACATTCCCACTAATAGCACAAGCATGTCTGTTCCCCACTTCATTTACTCTTTCTGCTAACATTTTTTTTTCATTCTGTGCCAACTGGGGAGGTGAAAACATGTCAATTCATTTGTTTAATGATATATGAATTCCAGCTCTCAGACACATAAGTCACACTCTGAACAAAGTCTCTGAGATACTTGGTGGAACTGAAATTACAGGGAATTAATTCCAAGCAATTTAATCATTCTTCCTCACGATGGACGCAGTACCACTATCTGCCACCGGGTGGTGGTGGGCTCCTGGGGAGCCTAAATTCACAAAGGAGCCTCCCCTAAGTGTGGCGGGTTGAATCTCTAATTACTGCAAGAAAGCAGGTAACTTTCATGGAGATGTACTGTAGGTCATACCCTATACTGTATGCTTGCTCCATATGCACTATCACTTAATACTCCCCAAAACAGACCCTGAGAGCATGATTTATTATACTACAATATTTCTGTGATTTTTTTTAATGTTAATAAAATACCAGAAGAAATCATACAACCGCTCTCAAAAACAAATACTCATAATTACCAACACCTGGGGACCATTAATAGCCTATTAACTAAACTGTTATTTAATCACTAGCTAAGTAAATCCGGAGCTACCAATTTACTTTGCTTAATTTTGTAGAACAGCAGGTCTCTCTGGGCTGCGTAGTTCCGTTCGGCAGGTCTATAAAGGGATTCTGGTGTGAGTGTGCCCCAAGGGCCTCTATGGATTCCTAACCGCCTTGTGAAGTAAGTTGCTTCTCCCCTAATCACCAATGACTGTTCCTCTGTCCCAGATAAGAGATGCCCCAGAACTAACATGCCTGTGGCCCCTCCGTCAGGAAGTGGTACAGCCTGGATTCAAACCCTGCTTGGTTTTCATTCTTCCACCAGACCTCAAGAGCAACAGCCTCCAACAGCCCTGCTCAAAGTCAATCAGCAAGCCAACTGTCCTCTTGGAAAGATCTGTTCCACCCCACTGGAGGGTTGGCTCCTTTGTGTGTGTGTGTGGGGGGGGGAGGAGTGGGGTAGCATGACCTCTTGACTTCTGACTTCTAGGTCC